CAAAGTGAAGAGTCTATCTTGTTCAGATTTTTTCCCTGACTCAGGTCTCCTGATGACATTGAGCTTCAGTCTCAACTTTGATGGAAACTAAGAACAGATTTGAAATCAGGAAACACAAAGTTTGTTTTGGTAAAGAGAAGTTATCGAAAAGGTACAGTAGATTTACAAACAAACCAAAAGAAATGTTGATCAATAATCCCAAACGATTTTGAATCGAAAAAATATTATATGAACCGTGTTTCGAAATAAAATTTTTCGATCAAACGTTGCAACGTAGGAAGGGATGAACGATAGAAAAGTTGTTTGCCAGTAGAAACAATTTCCTCCAGAAGTGATGTAGAAACTACCTAAAACTACAAAAGAGGATTTTAACTATATCTTACTTTCTATCTCCCCAAATTCATCAATAACTATCCGTTATAAATTGCGAAAAAAAATTTTCCAAAAAAGATTCGAACCCTGACATCAGATTCTCGGTGTCAGTGACGCTAACCACTACACCACGCCGCCAGCTGCCAGCAATTGCAACGTCGCGATACATATCAGCTCAGGTGTGCGAAGTCAAACTTCGAGGGGTCATAACTCCGTTAAAAGGCAAAAGGCGTAAAATTTTTTTCTTGTTCTCGGTTCAGGGATCTCGTTCCATCAAATTCTCAAACTGTCTTTTTGCAACTCCCTTGTGAGCAAAATAAACACTTTTATTCAAATTTATCGACCACGACAAGCCCGAATTCTTAGGATTCAAAGAGAAATTTTCTCTCTAGCCGTACACTAATTGAACGGATCAGTAGAAAAGCATACATTGGATGATCAATTAATGATTCAGAATCGTCCAGAAGACGTGGAGGCCTCTGGATTATGCGATGCAGGATAAAATAACTAGAACTTCATTTTTCAAGACCAGACTCACTCCCACCATCTTAAACTTTTTTTATTAAATTAAAAAAATAAAAAAATCAACAAGTTCTGTAATTTTTTATAATTTGGATGAATGAAAAAAAGAATGAAATTATCAAAAATAAAACCTGAAAATATTTTTTTCATGCCCAAAAAAACTTTTTTTGAAATCTCAGGGTCCCCTAAAGTGGCTTCTTCAAATCTTTACTGATCAAAAAAATCATTCAAATCATTATAATGAGAGAAAGTATGAAAAAAATATGCTTTATTATCCTCAAAAAAACTTCAAGTGTTCCAAAAAAGAATTTCAGACGTACTCATTTTGACCTCGCAACGTTTGACCCACCATCTCCAAAGCCCGCCGGATTTCAATTTTTTTACGGTTTTAATCGATTTTTTACCCTTTTTATTAATTTTCTGTGTTTATTGGTGATAATTCGTCTACTTCAAGTCATTTCAAGCTTTTAGGCTTGAAACCACGAAATATTGCTTTGTAAAAAGTTTCAATGAGCTCCTGTTTTCAGTTTTAACGAGGTTTTCCGATCCTGGTTTTTTCTTTTTCGACCTCTCTTCTTCCTTTTCTGATTTCAATTCAATTTTTCTTTACCCTTTTTCTTTTTTTCATATCTGTAAGTGTATTAAAATACAATGCAGTACAATTAAAACATTTATTTATGCAAGAAAAAAAGATCACAGAGAGACCAAATTCATACAAAATCAGATTTTTCGGTTTTTTGGAATCATGAAAAATTAAAAATCGTAAAAAGAACTTCAATGCGAAAATTGAGCAGCACTTCAAGAAAAGAATGAAAAGAATATTCCACGAAATTGTGACGAATTTTGAAGATGTGAGAAATATGAAAAGTGTGAAGCTATCTTTTACAGCCTGTAAAAAAATTTTTCAGATATTTTTTTAATTTCAATGAGTTCCTTTCAAAGATTCTATTTTTTTGAAAAAAACTTTTTTAAAAAAACTACAGGGCTCTTTTTAAAGTTTATAAATCCGTAGAGCCGAAAAAAACCCTGAATATATTTGAAAAAAACTTCTCTTATTTCTACAAATTTCCCCTCAAAAGTCATCACAAAAAAATTGGAAGGCAAATAAATAAAAAGTAAAAATATATTAAAAAAATACGACTTGGTCTACGGCCCCTTCAGTGACTACTTCGAATTTTCACCGATTCAAAGTAATAAAGTATTAATAATAAGAAAAAAATAATGATAAATAGATTTTTATTATTCTCGAAAATAATTAGTGAATACAAAGGAAAGAAAAATTAGTCGTATGTGTTTCGCGAATTTTTAATAAATTAGTAACTACTTATAAACAAAAAAACGCGACATCGTCGCAGAAACAAAAAAATACTTCCTTCAGTATAATACAGAAATGTTCGTGAGAAAGCTCGCAAAGAGAGCAAATTCAACGCAAATAAAAAAATTTTTGAAACAAACCTTGATGAACATACTCGCGTTTTTATTCATCTTTTTCGATTTCTTCTCTTTTTTTCCTCCTTCCTCTTCTCACTCGCTTCTAAAAAGATTAGATTGTTGACGGAAAACTTTCTATTTTTCAATGATTCAGAAACTTTGAACAGAAATACAATAAGAAAAGATCAATTTTTTTGTAACTTTTTTCGAATAAAGGAAAACGGCGCCGAAATCGATTTGCAGAGTATGCAATGGCGCCCACGTCCAAGCGCACTATAGAGTGTTACAGTACCCTGAAAATTCGGATTTTTTTCTGCGGGTTGGAAATTTGTACACAATATGTTATAGGTAAAAAAGGGAGCCTGTGAAATTGATTGTAGATTTTGAAGATCTAATTCTTATCTGAACTTTTTTAAAACTGAATTTCCACTCGAATCGTGCTTTTTTTGAACAATTAATCCAAGAGAATGCTGAATATTCAGATTCCTAGCCTTTCCGAATTGTTTAAAAATCCTAACTGAATGCTCTAATTTTCCCGTTTCCTTTCTTCATTCAACGATCATTTTTGATGTTCTGAAACATTTTTTTTTTCAGATTCTCGAGTCCAAACTCAATATTCGATAGAATATCGAAGTGTTGCTCGATCATTTTAATATAAATCCAAAAACACGAAACTGATAATGATGGTCAATCATGAAATTTGAAACTTAGAGAAGCAGAAAAGTTAATGATGGTATTTTTTTCAAAAGTTCGCTGAGAGATTTGGAAGCTTTTACAATGAAAAAAATTATTTTTAATCTATATTTTTTTAATGAATTGATTATAGACGTCCGAAATGGACATGCAACACGGCGACCAAGGTCGCCAACAAACTGACAGAAGGCCTCCATTGGAGGAACCTGAAGAAGTCGCCGGAAGCGACCCTTTTCCAGTTAGTTCACGATTTGGCTACAATATTTCAGGGTTAAAAAGAGTCTTAATCCTTTAAAATCGATTTTTTCATGGAAGACATGTAGGACTTCAAAATAAATGTTTTTTCTCGGAAACGTAGGGTACCAAAAGACTCTCGGTCATATTTCAGGGTTCAATAAGACTCTTAATCATGTAAAATCGATGTTTTAATGGAAAAATGCAGACATATTGATATAGGATCGCAAAATAGTTCCTTTTTTGGAAAATATGGAGTTCAAAAAGACTCTCGGCCATATTTCAGGGTTTAAAAAAAGTCTCAGTCCAGTAAAGTCGGTTTTCCAACGAAGAAAGATGCAGAAATATTGATATAGGACTCAAAAATACATGCTTTTCTCGAAAATATGGGGTTCAAAAAAACTCTGTGCCATATTTTAGGGTTCAAAAAGAGTCTTAATCATGTAAAATCAATTTATTACTGTAGAAAATGCAGACAGATTGATATATGACTTCAAAATACATGATTTTCGCATACAGTTCAAGCCACTGGAATTTTGGCCAAATTTTCTACGATTAATTTGAAGAAAATTCATCAATACACCAAATTTCACAAGTTCCACGTCGAACTCTGCTTTTCCAAACTGAAAAGTGATTAGAAAACAACGTCTTTCAAAAAATCAGGCAAAAAAAACCCCCAAATGGGCGGTTTTTGTTTGTGGTTCCTAATAAGTTATGTGAAAGGCTGACATTCCAGAATATAAAAAAATTTCAACACGATGATACTGATTTTCAAAATTACCGAAGAAATTCTGAAATTTTCTTGGTGCTATGTAAAAAAAAGTTGATGTAGCTAGAACCGTAATTTCTCAGAAACCTCGAATAGTTAGGGCAGGACATTATTTCTACATAGGCAAAGTCGGAAAGGGTGGAAAAAGGCTCCATAGAAATGTTCCTGTTAGAGTGACAAAGGTCCTTTTTTCCTGCTTTTTTGCGCCATTTTATGGGCTCTTATGCACCCTTTTTGCTGCCTCTCCCTTTTTCCACCATTTCTCGAGCCATTAAAATCCCAGAAACAATGGAAGACTCGATAAAGGACTCTCTTCACTGCCTTTCTGGGGCCTTTTTGCTGCCGTTTTACAGCCTTTTTTGAGCCTCTCCCTTCTAGTGGCCATTATTCACCATTCCGACTTTGCCCGAGTAGAATATGATCAAATTCAAAAGTCCAACTGAAAACTAAACTAATTTGCTTTTACAGTGGCCGCCATGCCACAGCATAGCACTGAGGCCGGATGTCGCTGAAGGCGTAAGTTTCTTTTTGATTGTGTTTCAATATTTTTAAAAAACTAATTTGAGCTGATCCTGGGTTTTTGGGAACCAGCGCTCAAAAATTCTAATATTTTCGTCCCTCGGACATTGGTAACGCGAAACGGACGTGCTCCGGACGTTTCTGGGCGATTCTAGAGATCACTTAAGAGTTCTGAGGCTACTAAAGTGGTCACTAGAAATGCCCCGACACGTCCGATTCGCGTCCCGTTCGCGTTACCAAGGTCTGAGCCGAAGAAAATTTGGGATGCACTTGAATAGTAGTCCAATCACTCTATGTTTAATGAAATAGAAAATTTTTTTAAGAATCATAGAACTTTTTGAGTATTTTAAAATAAGGAAGAAGAGACCATCGTAATGGAATATCTAACATGGTTTCCTTTCAGACAAGGGACTTCTTGCGAACAAATCGCCACGCAAGACCCGGCGTCGGCAGACTCTACCACGCCAGCATCTGGACGGACCAGTTCGGAACGGAGGTGAGTTCTTTGATCCGCCTTTTTTCTATCTAGTATGACCTCACTGACTAGTAGAGCTTCCAACTCCTTGAGATATATAGTCTGTTCAGATTTTGAATGTCAAGTCATCGCTAAAGCTCCGCCCCTAATGGTGCGATAAACCAATCAGAGAGCGAGCCATCCACAGAGTTTTTTTCAATGACGTCATTGCACTTGACATTAAAAATCTGAACAGACTATAGTCCGTTTTTCGCGACTGGGGTGGGTTTTCTCTAGCCCTCCTTATCTCTCAACGTCTCCCTCATGTTTACGTACTATTTCCATGTTTCTCTGACCGGTGAGGGAACAGAGAGACGCAGACACGTGAAAACTTTCAAGTCACGGCGGACAAACTATATGTATAACTTTGTTTACAAAAAAATAAAGTTATAGACATTTTTTGAAGAGAAAAAAACCTCGAGTTATCTTTAAATTTAGCCTAAACTTCTCGAAAATCTTTGAAATCTTATACTACTCCGAAAAAAACGAGAAAAGAGAAGGATTTTGTATCATTCGACATTTTATCGATTTTAAAAACTCACAAACAGTAAGAGCCCTAAAAATCTCACAAAACGGAGTTTGAAAATGAGAAAATTTATTTTTACAGCACGTTGAGCTCACCCTGTTCGTTCCCACCGAACAAGATGTCGCGGTTCGTTTTTTTTATTGATTCTAAAGACTCAAGAAATGGTGGAAAAGGTAGAGGCAGCAAAATAGTGCATAAGAGCCGAGGAAATGGCGCAAAAGGCAGCAAAAAAGGGGCCTTTGTGACCCTCAAAGGAATTTTTCTATGGAGCTTTTTTTCACCTTTTCCGACTTTGCCTATGATTGATTGAAATGTCTAAAAAGTTTTTGAGGAATAAAAAAAAACTAAAAATTTAATTTTGAGACAGTTTCTGCGATTTTTCTTTCACAAAATACATTTTAGGCAAAAAGAAGGACACGGCTTTATTATATAAGCTTTTTTTAGAAGCCGTGTCCTTCTTCTATATAAAGCTTTAACCTGATGGAGTTCTGGTTTTTTTCCAACTTTGTTAATAGTTTCAAAAAAATGATCTCTGAATCTGTACTTGCATGAACATATTATTTCAGTCGATCCGGGAAGAGGCGCTTGAAGTTGAAGCAAAAAGGAGAGAGCCGGCGCCGCCAAGGCCTCAAAACCGCAGGCCCTGCGAATTCGCCAGAGTTCGTTTTTCAGTATTTTCAAGCTCAATATATTCTTATTCATGCTTCATCAAAACTTTGGATGAGAGAAATAAAGCTGAACGCTTCAAAGTTTGAAGTGAACATGAAAAAAAAGTCTGACGTTTTTTTAAAATCGATTCAGCATCGAAAAGTATTTTTTCGACTCTAAAACTAAAAATTTAAAAAAATAGCTTAATCTCAACTTTGAACAGCGTCTCACTACATGAAAAAAAGACTGTTTCCAAAAAAATTTTTGTAATAAAAAAATTCGCAGTTATTTCAATTTTTACGAAAGAAATTCACAAAATTTGGGCTCACTATTTTTTTCAAATGAAACAAATAAAACAGTGGGGCGCATTGAATTTTTTTAATTTTTTTCTGGTCGAGGCAAATGAACTGATGGCTACTGTATCGTTTTTTTATTATCATATTACAGTTTATGGACGTCGTCGGTCCTGAACAAGCCGTAATAAGGCTAGAAAGAAGAGAAGAAGAAAGAGAGGACGGCGAAGAAGAGGAAGAGGTCAGTACATAAAGAAATATATATATATTGAAAATAATCACACTTCTGAGTTTCTTGTTTCGAGATTTTTTTCTGATTATTTTTTCGAATCAAGAAATTGAACCCGAAAACAGCTCCTATGGTACAGTAAAATCCAACTTTTCAGGCTCCATCCACTTCAAGAAAAACGCAAAGCCGAGGAAGACCTCTCGGTCCGGTCTCCGAAGGTTAGTTTGAAAAAAATAAATTTCATTTTGTAAGAAAAGAGAGGGCGACGCGATATTGCACCGTTGCACACAGCCAAATTGCGCATACAGTAACCTCGGCGAAGGCAAAGAGCGCTTTTTACATTTTCTCATCATTCCGATCGTTTTTGCCTAATCGGGAGTAAATTTTTCATGTTTTTTGTTTTTTACCTCGAGGCGGCGAGCTTCATGAGGTTCCGAGTAAAGCGCGAAGACGCGAAAGAGCGTGGATGGCTGTTCTAGAGACGACCAGAGGCGAAAGCTGGTTTCAAAAACCTCGGTAAGTCAAAGTTATCTATAGTTTCGGTTCGTTAATATTCCGTGTCGTCTTGCCCCTCAATTTCCACCTCTTTCCACTTTTCTAGCTTTTTTAAATCAAAAGTCTCGAATGTTTGAATATTTCAAAATAAAAAAAAAAAAAAATTTGTTTTTGGCGATAGACAAGTTTTACAAAAAAAAAAAAAAAAGTTCCATCCCAGCCCAATACGCCCTCTTACCCTTATCACTCTCGCTCTCCTCAGGTGGCCCTGTAATAAGAACCTTAATAAACATTTACCAATTAGTCCAGGCTTCTCAAGTCTTTCCCTCTCCCAGAAACCATGTTTCTCTTATCCGTGCCGGCAAATGCGTGACATGAAGTTCCCACGATGATGTCCCTTGAGTAAGGACGTTTTCAGAACGTTCCCTTGTTTGCCACTTCAAAACGCTCATATTTTGATTTTACAAAAGCCCAAAGAATTTTACAAGCATAGAGACCTCCTGGCTACAAACCCTCGGAAAACTTTGGATAAAGTTGGATAACCTGTTGGCCCTCCCATGACCTCTTCCCGGAACAGAACACTGAAAGACTAAACTGGTAACGTATGACAAAAAAAGCTCTGAAAAGCGAAGTGATCAGAGAGAACTCTGGACAAGAGTCTTAAGACCCCGGAGTCAGTCCCTCATCCTGCCATCGAGCTGTTTAAAAAGTTTCACGAAACACATTGCGGCCACGTTTGTGTTAGAAAGTACTTAGACCCTCAGAAAACCTTCCTTATCCCTGTGTCATTTTTCCTGCTGAAGCCCCATCAGAATGGAGAGAAATTATTGTGATGAGGATTCTCTCTCAGGTTTAAATCACAGTTCTAACCTCTCGGTCCGGTCTCCGAAGGTTAGTTTGAAAAATAAATTTCATTTTGTAAGAAAAGAGAGGGCGACGCGATATTGCACCGTTGCACACAGCCAAATTGCGCATACAGTAACCTCGGCGAAGGCAAAGAGCGCTTTTTACATTTTCTCATCATTCCGATCGTTTTTGCCTAATCGGGAGTATGTCCCACCCTCCCACCCTCATACTCCCTCTCTACCACTGGCAAAAACACCGTCGACCCCACCGCACCAGTTTCAGCATAGTCAAAATTCTTAAAATAGAATTTGTAAGTGAAGACTTCAAAAAGGTCACCCCGGCGGAAACAGCTTCTTTCCAATACATAAGCCCTTTTCCGCTCTCTTCTGAGATTAAATCCGGCGCCCGTCAGCCCTGGACAAGCTGGGCGCCGTACTGTTCCTACATGGAGAGGAATGGATCGTCGAAAACGCCGAAAACCTTCGACTACTATCACAAGAGAGGCCTGATGCTTTACGCTTGATCAACGACAGATTCGCAAACGGACAAACATGTCTTCAACTATTTCATGGTTCAGAAGAGAACCTGTAGACTGAGTAAAAGTTACATAAAGCCCTTAATAGAAAGCTTGGGAAACAATACCTCAACACTCTCAGTCTCCCCCTATAGGCACTCGAAAAAATGTTTTTAGATCAGCGAGCCTACGCATCTGGAGTCGCGTGAAAGAAGGTCAGCCGAAGCGGAGGCCGCACGCGCAGTTTAAGTTGACCGACAACACGAGGCTCACTTCTGCAACACTCGGAACTACGACAAGCGGCGCTCCTATGCGACTACATGCAAATGATGATCTACCGTACATTCAATCGTCAAATTCTTTATCTGTATCGCCGTCCCTTGATTCTTGTTGCATTCCTACTGGGTTTTTGGTTTGGGTTACAAGGCAATAAACGCGTCGACTCTCTTGAATGACAAAATACATTTATGATGAAATGAAATGGAATTATAAAAGAAAAAATAATGGAAGCCAAAAATGCATCAATTTTAAGGAGAATATTTTCTATACGGTTCATTTTCCGAAAATACACATTGTCAGAATAATCATTTTGCAAGCCTAGCTTAAAAAGTATCAACTTTATCAGAAATAAACTCACGTGAATAATTTTTTTCATCAAGAGAAAAGATTATTCTTTGCAGAGGTGGAGGGTTGGGAAGGCAGTCCTTGGCTTGGCGGCCAAGCCAAGCCAAAAAGCCAAACGATAGAAATGAGCCATAAATTTACGTGGTCTTTGGCAACTAGGTCAAGTACGTGGCGATAACGCCCTGAACTAATCATTATCAATTTCGTAAATTTTTGAATTGTTTTTCGCAACTTCGTGTTAACGTTTTTTTAATCTACTGTAACAGTTATTTCAGCAGGGAATTGTCACGGAAACAGGTCAAAAGGCTACCTTTTCAATTTCACTAGAGAACTATTTCGACAAAAAATTTTTGAGATGCCATGAAATTGATGCAAAAGTATTTCTCTTGATTCATTTGGTTTCCAAAAAAGTCAAATGACTGAAAAATTCTATTACGCCAGGCCACCTCGTTAACAGTGCAAGGCTTACAGTTCTCTACCTGGATTTTTCCGGTGGTATTAAAAAAAACCAGCGAATTTTTGAACGGCGACTTTTTCCGATTTGTTCAAATCGCTAGGGAACTTTCCGACGGACCACTTCCCGACTTTTTTCCCTTTTTTTTCGGTTCCTAAAACATTTTTTTGTCTACTTTTTTGTGTTTTAATCATGAATCAACTACCTACTTTATATGGGAGGATTCAAAACGAAGAGTTTATTTAGCAAAAAAGTTGAAAAGGATTAGTCGGAAAGGTGGCCGTCGGAAAGTTCCCTAGCGATATGAAAAAATCAGAAAAATCGCCGTTCGAGTTTTCGCTGATCTTTTTTTCATACCACCATTTTTTCGTGTTTTTGTAAAAAAGTTTCATACATCGCTCAAAACAAGCGCTTCTAGATGCTAGGGCGATTTCGCCTTACAAATGACAGTCGCGCCACGTTGACTTTTGAAAAAGTCATTTCTGCCTTTTGGGCGTTTATGGCTTGGCAGGCAGGGCGGCCAGAGGGCAGCCATCCTCCACCTCTGATTCTTTGATTGAATGCTCATTTAACTATCTAGAAACAACGAAAGCTGAGGGAAATCTTAAAATTTGACCTTTTCCATAGATTTTCTTCTCATAGAGCTCTTTTTATATGGCTTCAAAAAAACATGAACTAAGAAGGAAAAGGTGAAAATATTGGTTTGAAAAAAGTGACATGCAAAAAAAGCTTGCTCATGCATTTAAAAGCCATTGGAATCGAAATTTCACCAGAATAGTTTTTTGAATTATTTTTCCAAAGCGTTTCGAAGGTACTTATATTGTCGAAATAATCATTTTCCTCAGTTTTTCAAAAAGTTTATCAGAACTAACATGAGATATTTCACAACAAGGAAAAAAATTCTCAATCTCTTTAGAATAGGAAAAAAAGCTGCGCATACATTAAAATTTGAACTTTTCCATTTTTTAAAAAAATACGGAGATGCTTTCTTTATGCCAAAATGTGTATTTCGCGCAGATGATTTTTTTATCCGAAAATGTGTATTTCGCGCAGTTTTTTTCTTCAAAGATATTATAAATAAATTAATTAGGGCTGTGCGTGGGTCGGTCTTTATGCGCGCATCGATCCAGGAGCTTTCTTTAGTCTTATTTTAAAATTTACATGAAACTTTCCGATCCCATTCGATCAACTTTTCGATCAAACCCAGCGCACAGCTCCAAAGTTAACTCCCTTAGAAACTTGTGAATTTCAGAAGACATTGTTGGGTCCGCAAGGAACAACGGAGAAGAGGCCCGCGGGCGAAGAATTGGAAGGCCCAGTGCCAAAATGGCACTGTGTGGATCCAGCGAACGTTGGTTTTTCTTTCTTTCGAAAAAATATTCATTGTTAATCTAGTTGTTAAGTTTTCTAATAGTAGCACTAAAAGATCCACGAATGAATCAGTGAAAAATTGATTTTTTGATTTCTCTCATTGAGGAAGCTCTAATTTAGGGAATATTAATTTAGTTTAAATCTAGTATCCGTGGAATTTTTAAAAAAATACAAAGCCTGAAATCATTAATTTGTTTAATTTGATCAATCTTTTTATCAAAAATTTCTTGCAATTTAAGAAATTATTGAAACAAATATTGAATTGAAATGAAGCCGCCAAAAAGTTAACAAAATTGAATAATATTTTCACTACTCAATTTGATTTTATTTTAAAATTATACATTCGAAAATAGCAAAAAAATCTAACTTTACGTAAGCGTAATAACTTTTTTTCCAGATCGCTCGATTCAGCACAGTATCAAAAATTTTTGAAACCAATCGAACATGGATTTTCAACATGTCTAGTAAACGAATAAACAAAAAAATTAGAAAAAAAAATAAAAGGAACTAACCTTTCATTTATCGTTTCTCCTTTTTTTCGATTTTTCTCTAAGCTTTGTGCAAATCCTGAAAAAAATGAAGTGAATGAAACAAAACAAATGTGAAGAATAAAATACACTTTTTTTAATAGGAAAAATTTGAATCTTTCTAATTTTTTTGAGTATGCGCCTACTTTACGTAACATTGCGACCAATACACGCGAAAAAAATGACAGACTCCATGAAATGAACTTTGAAAGTTTGTTGATTTAAAATCATCGGTATTCAATGAAAACCAGAAGATTTTTTTGGTATATCAAGTTGTAACTCTAGCATAAATATTTCAAAACTTGTGTTTCAATTTTTTTCTTCCAAACGAAATGAATGTAAAAAAATTATAATGTTTGATTTTTGACCTGCTGAAACGGAAAAAAACTCATTGGAATTCAACCTATTGACTTGGAGATGATTGAGAAAAGAGTGCAGAGTTGTAGGAGAAGCTTGAAAAAAAGAGGTGAAATTATTTTTTCTCCTAGGAATTTTTCAGATCTCTCCTAACTAGTTAGAAAACTACGAAGCAGATTGCAATCCGTTTCTAAACAAAATGATTCAGGCCGCTGCCGAAGAAAGTGGGGCCGCAGAAGGCCGAACAACGGCGTCGGTAGAAGGAGGAGAAGAGAGAGATGGCCAGGAAGAAGGGTCTCTCGACGACCTCGAGCCGTGGGAGCTGGAGTTGCTCGAACTGGAGCGCTCCGAAGGCTCAGTAAGTCTTCTTCCTCTAGTCATTTTACATCATAAAAACTCTCTAAAAAGAATACTTTGCTGAAAACTTGAAAAAAATCTGGTTATTTGCTTTTTTTTGTTTTCATTCCTAGCCTTGCTGCTGACAGAAAAAAAACTGAAGAAGTCAGAATTTTTCCGAGCGCTTGAATAAGTCAGTGCTCAAAATAAAAGATACAAAGCCGCCTGAAGACTTTTCACGCCTTTTTTGTTAGTGGAAGAAGCCGTGTTTATAATGATTCTGCGAAATTCAAAATAGCCATAAGAAGTGAAAAATATAAACGAATTTAGAAAGTTCACAGATTATTTTGAATATCGCGAAAATTATTTCGAACACGGCATGTACGAGAGCGCCGCAGTGCACGCACACAACACGCTATACTTTACGAAAAAAATATGGGTCGTCAAAAAAAAAAACGGAGTGGTTTTACCTTGCAAAAAAGCGGTTTTCGCGAGCCTGATTGGACTTTTCAAAAATGATCGATTTAGTTCCAAACGGACGACTTCTCCTCTTTGCTGGAGAGCCTCGGAGGGAGCGGCGGAGCTCCAAGGGAGGATGGGGACGAGGACCCAGAAGTTTGTCTTTGAACTTTATTCTCACTAATAATTGGGTACTTCATTGAAAATTTCTTGAAAATTCGATAAAAAATTTCCGAAAAACTAAGGTTTTCCTTGAGAGCATTTAAAAAGGAACGACAGAAATTTTGCTGATCTAAAAAAAAAACATTTAGACGGATTTTGTGGGCGGCGCCTTGGCCCCCCAAAACGTTTCTGGAGTGGATGAGGACGACGACAATTCCTCATCCAGTGCCTCGTCACCGGTGATTTTTTATTTTCTCAATTCTCATATAACTGTAGTTTTCTCTTACACGGGAAGTGCAAAAGGTCGATGTATTGGAATTTGATGAAACTTGGTTTTTTCGGACATCCCGAATTCATAAAAGTTGCAAAAAGTGCGCCTTTTTGGTTCTAGTCGAGTTATTATACGCAAAAAAAATGAATTAGTTAGACGAAGGGAATCTCAGCTGTCAGCATTTGGCGTGGTGTAGTGGCTAGTAGTCTAGCGCTATGAACCCTATGACGCTGGCTCGGATCCTTCTTAGTTGCATTTATTTTTTCCAATTTTTTTCTCTGTTAGTTGTGAAATTCACGGATAACTTGGGACGCTGAGGGGGCGTGGCGTGTCTGCGCCCTCCATCAAACATACACTATCTCTTTTATTATCGGGTCAGGACCCTTTTTTGATGGTTCAAGCCAGCCGTGAATCAACTATAAGTGTTATTCCCTTCGATATATGATTTCTAAACCTTTCTTTTTTGATTAACTGTCTAGCATTTTTGGAGATTAGATTAGATATAATTTTTTCAATCGACCAAACCGCTACGTAACAAGAAACGTTTAGAAAATTTGAGATTTTGAAGCCGTAGATATAAGATTTCTCAAATTTAAAGCTTTGTAGATCTAAAAGTTTCCCAATCGTTTGCTATTTTATCAATCAGATTTTTTCAGGCCTCCCTGAGCGATGAGCTCAAGGAACTCCAAGCTCTCTTCGAGCTTGAGGCGGCCGAGGAGTTCGACTTGTCGGTTAGTTTTATTATTCCTTTCATTTTCTTTTGAAAATAATAAAAAAATTCACTGAACTATCACGATCCTTTTGAAAAACGTCGAATTTCGAAATTTTCAGTGATTTCTCGATTGGTAAAAAATATTGAAAGGAACAAGAACCAGACAACTTCAAATATCTAGAAAAATTCCATGACTTGGCAAATTTAAAAATAACCTTGAATTAAAAATTGATTCAGGACGAGGATGAGTCTTCGGACTCATTCTTCCTCTCCGACAAGCGGCTGGCCGCCTTCAGGAAGGCCTACGCCGAGATGTATCCGGCTGAGGTTATTATTCTGATTTTTCTTCCACTTGTCGTCAGCTTCTTCTAGACCTAAACTTTTCTATCAAATAATCAAAAACGTTTTTATTCGAAAAATAAATAGCAACAATTAGCGAATAAAAAATAAAAAAGAAACAAAATATAGAATTTTTCAGTTCACCAAGTTTGTTTCTGTAGAATTTCATCGTCATACTAAGTGTAAAAATTGCAATTATTCGCGAATTCTCGCAGAAATTGAGCCGAAAATTGATGGGAAAAGGGCCAATTGTAGACACCCCAAGCGTATTTCTCAATACCATCGAAACCGTATGATTTCAATTTTTAATCGACAGCTCGAATCGTCTAATTCATAGTAACAATAGACTGAAGAAACAGAAAAAAACTTCAAAAAAACAATCAAAGAAAAAATTGGCGCAAAAAAACGAAAGCTTTGGCAAGGATCTGGAGTTCTCACAGTTTTTTTAGGGCGTGCCCGTAAAGCCGATGCGGCGCGGTTGCAAAATAATGTGGATTTACGCATCTGAAAAAAAAATGCTTTTTTTTTATTCATTTTACAAGAAAAAAAAAACTGAAACCAAAAATTGAATAACTTTTTTCTGTTCCAGTTGCACAAAGACAGTATTTTTCAATGAAGTAGATTAAAAGCGTGAATTTTTTTGAAAAATTCTTGAAATTTGATTGGTTGGACTTGGATATATCATATTGAGTGTGAAAAAGATTATCAGAATTTTTAAATATTCGATGTTATTCAAGTTTTTATCAAATATTTTTTTTTTGAATTTATGAAGTGCGTTTCATCTTGAAGGTTTCAGCTTTTGAAATATAACTTGAAAAAAAAAAGAATAATTATGTCGAATGATGAAATTAAAAAAATAACAAAGAGATTTTTTGAAAAAAAAAAGCTTCAGCAATTTCCTCAATCAGTCTAATACGGCGTGAACTGGAAAAATTTTTCAGAATGTCCAAAATTTCGAAACTTGAAAAAAAGTTCAAATCTAGAACATTTTAAGAAACCTTTCTAGTGAAATAGATTCCGCCTCTTATCTTTTTTTTAATGTTTCTAAATTTGGATTTCAGTATAACGAAGAGGAGGAGGAAGTCGAAGACGAAGAGGAGTATGAAGAAGAAGGAGAAGATGAGGAAGAAGGCGAAGACGAAGAAGAAGACGAGGAAGAAGCCGAAGGCGAAGAAGAGGCCGAAGACGAAGAAGAAGACGAAGGCGAAGAGGAAGATGAGGAAGAAGGCGAAGACGAAGAAGAGGAAGAGGAAGACGAGGAAGATGAGGAAGAAGAGGAAGAGGACGACGATGACCAGTCCGGTCCAGCCTTCCAGCCTGCCGCAGCCCCTCCACAAGCTGCGGCAGGTGCTGCCGGACCTGGTCAAGCCCTCCGTCAGCCCGCTCGTCAGGTAACTAGCAAATTTAGTGAAGAGAAAATGATTATAAAGTTTTTTTCCCTTTATTAACTAATATAAAAGTTTTAAAAAAGCAAATTCCCGTTTAACCGAGAGTTTTATTGCGCATTTTCGAAGCAAATTTTCGACTTGAACTACAAAAAAAGCAAAATTTTCTTAAGTTGCAAATAAAAGTCGAAAACAGAAAAATATAACGGATATCCGGAAATTCAAAGATGATTTTGAACTTCGCGAAAATAACTTTGAACACATCATGTGCGAAAGCGCCGCAGTGCATGAGAGTAAGAGCCCTTTTTTCTCGGAAATCAGGGTCTAGTGTGTGTTTTTTTTAAGAATACGCTGTGCCATATTATTTTTCGAATTGACGCATAAAAAATGGACCTGTTTCAGCGCGCCAACCCCGTCTTTGGCCCTGCTCAGCGTGCCTCCAGACGGCAGAGGGGCTTGGGCGTTGGCCAGGCCGTCCGCCGGTCGCCACCAACCCTGGCCGGTCTTTCTCCGGCCCAGCTCCTTGACCACATCAGAAAGGAGCTGGAGGACAGGCTGGTGGATGGGGGCACCGGCGACGAGGAGCTCCGGAGGATCGAGCGGCTGTCCTCGGCAATGACGTCGCTCACCGCAATTGAAAATGGCCGCCAGGTCAATGGAGCGCAGATGGCCAGGATATTACGGAAGATCCAAATGGCATACTGAGTTAGTTTGCACACAATCATCTAGTTCAATCCAATAATTTCTTGACTTTTTCAAGAGGATTCTTATTTGATTGAGGAATTTTGGCTCAGTATTGGAGGAAAACCTGTTTTTTCGAACATTTCTTTAGGAATCTTCGCGAGTCTGCGACCGAGCTTTAAAAATTTTCCCATATTTTCTCCATCGAAAAAATAGAACTTGAATTGTTTCTATGCGTGAAGGTTACTAGAAGGTTTAGCAATTTAAGCAAATTAAGCTTCTAATTGGTTTGTTTTGGAGCAAAAAGAGTCAAAAGCTATTTTCATGGAGCCAAAGACGTTAGAAAGAAGTGTGTTCGAATATAAAATATTCGAAAAAAAAGATTTCTTTCGAGTTTTAATCACTTCAAAACATGTTTCCTTCAATTGGAATCGCTTAAAGTAGTTGCCAAAACTAGATTGAGTTGTGAAAATTTTTTTCTTTGAATGATTCAAAAGCTTTTCTTCAAGATTAGATCGGTTTAAAAAAATGTCCTTGTCCTTTTCTGCAAAACTTTATAGTCAGTCCATCCCGACTTGAAAGGCGAGGGAGGTTGAAAAATAGGCGGGAAGCGTAGCGTATGCGTACGCGGTTCTTGGCGCGAATTGCCGAAATTCAATTATATTTTCCACTCTCTGACGGCTATTTTGAAATCCGCGAAATTATTTCGAACACGGTATGTGCGAGAGCGTCGCAGTGCATGCACAAGACACACTACACCCCCGCCTCCCTTGCCTTTCAAGTCGGAAAAAATCGACTATACAAAAACACATATTTAATTCCGTGCTAATTAGAAACGAATTAGAGCAAAATTACCTAGGTCCCCAGACTGTCCTCGCCACACGCCTCTCGTCAATCTGAAATCTACCTGGACCTTTTTGAAAACCCGTTCTACCCTGCTTTTTGGAATTGGTATCGTCGAACTTGGAATTGATTTTTTTGTTGTGACCTCTCATCGAGGCGAAATATTGTACCTTTGTCTCCGATTTTGTGTGTTTTTTTGGATGTCCAGTTTTTTTTTTCTTGAATTGTTTTTTTTTTTTTTTATTTGTTCTCAATTTTGTGTTTTCCACGGCTTCTCATCGAGGCTTTTTGTCCGTTTATGTGTTTTTTTTTTTGAATCTTTTTTTTTCCATGGCCTTTCATTAAGGCATTATACTGTACTTTGTCCGTTTTTTTGTGATTTTTTTGATTTGATTTCCAGTTTTTTTAATTGTTCTGTTTTTACTAATTTTTTTCTCAATTGTTTTTCTGTTTTTTTAACTTTTTTTCTGCATACTTTTTCTTTCTTAAATCATCTTCCTTTATAAGGTATTCGAAGGTATATTTTTTTAGTTTCTTTAATTAGTCAATGTTGTTGTATTAATTAGGGAACTCCCGGCGCGCGCGAAAAAAACAAAAAAATTAATAAAAATAAAAAAATAAAAAAATAAAAAAACAATAAAAATAAAAACCAAAAAAACGTCTTCTTCCTTCTTTTTTTGTTTAAATTGTTTTTTTCCTTTTTTTCTTTCTCTATCAACCGCCTTCGAATACCTTTCCAGTAAGGGTAATTTTTTTCCCTTACTGATGTTCTCTCCGTAGGTTCAGTTGATTTTTTTTTGACTCGTTCTAAACGAGTTTCAGCTCTTGATGGACGGGCTTAAAAAATTCCCGTCAGAGCTTTGTTCATATCATTTTTTTAAACACTTTAGCTTCCTCATGGTGAAGTTCAAGCGGAGAAGAGGTAGCCTCTTCTGAAAATTTTTTTTTCTTTTTGCTTCAAGGAGCCGTCATTTTTCGGTCTCTGGCTTTCCGTAGGGTTCATTGAAAGAATTTTTCAAACTCGCTCCTTATAGCGAGTCTCCAAATTTGACGGACTAAACACAGTCCTTTATGAAATTTTTACACTTTTTTTTCCATTTCAACTACTTCATCTTCATGAAGTAGAAAAGAGGCTCAAAAGAAGCCATATTTGAATTCTTTTTCACAATTTTTTTCTATCATTCTCCGCTGGCTAAAAAAACAGCCGCAACCAAAATTTCAAATAATTTTTCACTTCGTCATGGTCGGCTTTATGCGCAACAGTGGTAAGTTTTTTTGGTGAGTGAATTTTTTTCTTTCTTCTTTTTGCCTGATATGGCTTGATTGTGGAGGTTGGAGGTCATTTTTTTCGAGTTTTTTTGTTCATTTTTTTCAAAAATGTTTCAAATATTTTTTTCAAAAAAAGGGTGAAGCTTAGATGCTTTTACGGTTTTGTTATTATTGATTTGGAACCAAAAAGGATATTTTTATTTTCATTCAAATTGAAACGATCGATTTTTTTGTCTGATGCGTTTCAGTTAGAAACTCGAATTCAGTTTTTTTCAGTAGTGAATCGTTTTTTTCGTCCTTTTTTTCTCAAAAAAAGGCTATTTAAGATTTTTTTGGTCATTAACCTCTTCATATTGACGGGTTTTCAGCTAGGAGCTCGACCGTTCTTTTTTCCAGGCAAAAATGCCTTTTTTCAATGATTTTTTCAACCTTTTTCCCAACAAAAAGGCTGCATTACAACTTTTTGCCGATTTTTTTCTTTCATTCTCCGCTGGCTAAAAACAGCCGCAACCAAAAATTTCAAATCATTTTTTTTTTCATTTCGTCATGGTCGGCTTATGGGCAAGAGTGGTAAGTTTTTGGTGAGTGAATTTTTTTCTTTCTACGTTTTGCCTGATAAGGCTCATTTTTTTGGGTTTTTTGACCATTTTTTTCAAGGGTGAAGCTTAGATGCTTTTGCAACTTTTGTTTTTTTCTTGATTTGGAACCAAAAGAATTTTTTTCAATTTTTTTCATTCACATTGAAACGATCGTTTTTCTAACTAGATGCAATTCAGTTGGAAACTCGACCGCTTCTGTTTTTCGGTTTTTCCAATAGTCAATCGTTTTTTTCGTCCTTCTACTGAAAAAGGCTGTTTCTGTTTCAAAATTTTCTTTTTTTTTTGAACTTGCCTTTTAAAATGGGAGGCAGAAAGCACCTTTACCGTTTTTTTCCGCAAAAAAAGGCTGTATTTATGATTTTCTTTTTGGTCATCCACCTCGTTTAATTTTTTCTTGATATTTTGGCTCGAAATTCGACCGTTTTTTGTTTCAAATCAAAAAAGCGTTTCTTATTTTAGTAGTCGATTTTCCACCAATTTTGGAAAAAAAAGAAATCACTCTTTTACGCTTTCGTCGAAGCGCAATTACTTGAAAACTTGCTAGAAGTGTTTTTTGTCCTTTTTTCAAAATGAAAAAGGCTATTTCGATCATTTTCCTTCCTGAAGTACCATGCAAATCACATTTATTCCATTTCAAGCCAAGATTCTTCAGTCGGGGATTTTTCCTGATTTTTTCACGTAAAAATTTTTTGTCTTCCTTTTTTTTTGCAAAAAAGTGCATTATTAGGAATTTTTCCGCTCCCTCGATTTCATGTTTCCATAGTTAAAACTGGTTTTTTGTTTTGAAATAGAAAAAGGCAAAATTTACTTTCGAATACCAAATCTTGGTATTTTTTTAAGCAAAAAAGGGCTATATTCATTGATTTCCGGTGTTTCTTCCGACATTACTCGAAAATCTGCCCTTAAAGTTTGTTTCCAATTTTCATTAGCTTAAAGGATTTAGATAATATTATATTTTTTGAAAGAGCTGTGTAATTCTTCATGCTGTGATATATTCAGCTCGCCTAGGTTTCTTGAAATTTTCCCTAAAAGAACTCAATTCAAAACTTGTTCCCGAAAATTGTTGTTTTACGGATTTTGATCACATCGCTTTTTTTTTATTCTCTAGGCATCAAAATGGGTCAGCCTAATTTTTGAACAGATACTTTCTGTTCATACTCTTGATCGTTAGTGGAAAAAAAAATAATTATTGTTCAATTTTTTCCTAATTTTCGATAGTTCGGCTCTCAACCGAAAGCTATCGTTTTGATAATTTCACATTACTCTGTTTTTTCCAAGGATTTGATCCCCTGAAGTGGCTAATTTTCCTTCTTTTTCGGGGTGCTCATCTATTTTTTCCCGCTTTTAAACATCTCGTTTTCGAAATCCGTCCTGAGGCTTTTTTTCGCGATTGATTTCTTCGCCTGGTGACGCTTTCAGTTCATCGCAGCACATTCAGGTTTATAAAATAGTTTTTCGTGATAATTCAGCATTCTACGACTTCGAAGTACAATTTTTATTGAAAATCTCAATATCAGCAGAGCTTTTAGAAGAGTTGCCGATTTTGTCTACTCGACTTCGTATTCCCAACCTGTTTTTAGGGCGTTTCTCAATTTTTTCAAGTTTTGTGGTTTCCATTTTCTCCAATTTAAGCAGGCGAAAAAGCTTCCGTTTTCAGTTTTCAGAGTTCAATTTTTCCCGGAACTGCGATCTTTGAAGTTCGACTGTCGGCTCGAAATATGTTGCTTTGAATTTTTTCTCATCTTTTTACAGATTTTCCGTCCGAAGGTCTTTTTCTTGTTCCACAACGCCAAGAAGCTTCGATTAAGTGTATACCTTGGTCTACTTTCGAGATTTCCAATTTTTAGTTTTTCGAAATTAGTTTGTTTCCGCCTTGGTCTGCTCTTTTTCCGGAAATTGATCTTCTTTTCGTGAGGAGCATTTGGAAACGTTTTTGAAGCCTAGGAGTTCTTCAGTTTTGGCAAAGCTCCTAGTAGTCTCTTCTTCTCGTCACGTCTCCTTGAGCTTTTCATGACTTCGGTTTTCGAGTTCAGTCCGTCCGCTGCTTCATCTGCTTGGTATTTCGAGGCTTATACTTAGGAAAATTTTCGGAAGGTGTTGTGAAGATAACCAGCAGGATATTGGAAGGTGAATAGAAGCTAGAAGGTCTTGAGAGTTTTTTGTTCATGAAGGCCTTCATTTTTTCTCCAAAGGTCTCGACTTTGATCCGGAAAGTCGAGATTTTTCTCTGCGAGTCAATCTCAGTGCAGCTCATACAGAGCTGGTGATGTTTCGAGATGTCAGGTAAGTTTACCTTTTTTTTCCAATAACCCACAAAAGTTTACTAACCTCAAGCTTTTCAAAAAAAAGTTCTTTAAAAAATTATATAGAAGTTCAAAAAAATAAAAAAACAATCAAAAAAATTAATAGAACGTTTTTCCAATCAACCAAAAAAAATAAGGGGCTTTCTCTCGGGGTGGGGAAAAAATGAATAATTTCCCAAGTAATCTTTTTGTTTTCAGGTCGGCGACCGGTAGAAGGCAACGAAGATGACGTTTCAGAGTTTGGGGCCCGTCGGGAGGTATTTTTTTCCTTTTTCCTTTTCTAAAACTCAATTTTTGCTTTCAGGGCTAGCGCAAACATAGAAGACTAGGGAAGAAGCTTCACAACCTGCGAAAGGTAAATTATTTGACATCATAAGAAGAACTAACTAGGGGATTACTGGGGCTCAGGTACGCGTATCAAGTTGAAACTACGGTGGTATGAATAAAAGACTAGCGAAAATTCAAACGGCGACTTTTCCGATTTTTTCATATCGCTAGGGAACTTTCCGACGGCCACTTTTCCGACGAATCATTTTCCGACTTTTTTTTTCTCGATAAACTCTTCATTTTAAATTTTCCTATATAAAGTAGGTAGTTGATTCATGATACACAAAGAAATAGAAGAAAAAAAATGCTTATAAATGTTTTATAAACCGAAAAAAATAATGGAAAAAAGTCGGAAAGTTCCCTAGCGATACGAAAAAATCGGAAAAGTCGCCGTTTGAATTTTCGCTGGTCTTTTTTTCATGCCACTGAAACTTCGGTGGCTTATAGACTTGGGAAAGAGCTCTTGAAAACTAGAGAGATTATCTGCTAAACCACAAAGGCTTTTGAGAAAAAGCTTCTTGGATAAACCCAGAAAGAGTCCTGTGCGCGCCTGAACCGTCCTCTCTCTCTCTCCGAGGCGGCTTGGTGCAGTGGTTAGAACGCAAGTCTTATGATTAACTTTTTTGATTAGGTTCGATTCCTGTCGAGGGCAAATCTGTTTTGCGTTTTTCTTAACAACAATAAACCTTTTAGAAGATATAAAATTGTTTAACAAGCATTTCTATTGGTTCAAATGCTTCTCAAAAAAATTATTCGAGTGAATAAAAGTCTTTTGCAAAGCAACTACCTCCATCTAGAGAAAATTTTTCTTGAATTTCTTCGAAAATATTAAACTATATTGATGAAAATTCTAAATCTTTTCGAATTTCGTATCTTTACAAAGAGCTTTGTATTCAAGAAAAATGGAAAAAGATTTCCGCTCAGGAATCGATCCTATTCAAAAAGTCAATCATGAGACTGCACAGTGTTCCCAAACAGGCGGCAGATGTGGTCATTGGGCGTGGCTGTATGCAATGGGGGCGCGGCTTATTGCAATAGTGGCGCGACATTGAGAGCCGATTTTTGTGCATTTACTGGATGAAAACATAGCGTTGAATAGTGTTTTTCAAGGCCTCCTTGAACTTTTATAATAGTTTTAATATAGTCCAACGCACAATGAACCTATTGAAAATGGAATATGAACGGAATCGCTTTTGCCAAAAGATTTATCACACGAAATGCCTTTTTTCAGGAGAATTCTTCGCGTAAAGTCCTAAAACATTTCTTGAAGGAAAAAACCCATGACGGTTCTCTCAAAAAACGCATTCTGAATATTCTGAAACGAAAAAAAAATCAATTAGCTTCGGCACAAAAATTTATAACTCAAAAAGTCATTTTAGACAACATATGTTTATTAAAACGTCAAAAAAAAATTTTGAAAAAAAAGCTCTAGGCGTTTATCTTGAGAAACTCATTCTGAGCATTTTAAAACAAAAACATGAACCAAGTAGCTTCTGCAAAAAAAAAGTTACAATTCAAAATGTCATTTTAGTCGAAATTTCGGGACCACCTCGATCAAAAAATTGACTCAAGTACCTCTCAAACGCATCCAACACGGTTATATTACACAACAGAAAGTAAAACGATTCAAAAATCTAAAAAAATACGCGGGAAAAAAAAGGAAAAAACTATATTTAAACTGAATGAAATTTTGATAGGTTGACACGCGCCGCACCGCGATGCGTTAGAATGAACTCGCGTTTTCGCCCCATTGAGACGACCATTGTTTTTCGCCTGCGCTCGCCTGTTTTTGAAACACTGTGGACTGGCCCTCTAACCACTGCGCCAGGCCACCTCGGTGAGAGAGGAAGGTTCAGGCGCGCACAGGACTCTTTCTGGGTTTATCCAAGAAGCTTTTACTCGGAAGCCTATGTGGTTTAGCAGATATTCTCTCTTGTTTCCAAGAGCTCCTACCTAACCTGGTAAGTCTATAAGCCACCGTAGTTTCAACTTGATACTCGTAGCCGAGCCTGATTAGTTCCCTAGTTAGTATTTTTCAAAAGTTGTTTTTCTGATTGGCTGGTCACGCCCTTTTTTTGAGATTCTAAAGCGGAACGAGCCAATCAGAAAGTTGAAAAACTTGATATGAACGAACAAAAAGGCTGAATGTGAAATAAATTTTTAGAATTTTCTTCAAATTAGAATAAATTCAATAATTTCGATTCAAAATGTCACTTTCAGAAATGGAAATATAATTTCTAAATGAATACTTTCCAGAGGTCGCTTGGCCAAGGTGAGACTGTTCCATGGACGTCAAAGAGGACGATGGATTCATCGAGGATTTGAAGAGTACTTGAAACTGTTTCTTAGCTTGTGATTTTCCAGAACAAGGAGTTGACGACTGTTGGTCGAGTTGGTCGCAACTTGTTGGTCAAGTTAACTCCACTAGTTCGACTACAGCAACGGAAATATCCTTTGAAAGGACGCTGGGTCAAATTCCACCGTGGAGAAGTCGATAGGCCTTTTGGTTAGTGAGTAGATTTAGCGAAGATGGTTTACGTAATTATAAACACTACTTTACTAATCTCAGTAATCAAAGAACGCCAAACGAGTATTCCCTTAACTAACTTTAAAGAGATTTCTACGCCTCCGAGAGGTTTTTCCCCTTCAGGGCTTTCTCAGTAAGTTTTTTTGGAAAGTTCACGTCCGGTTTGTATCCAGTGGAGAGAGGCGGGCTGAGCCACAACACTCTTCCTAGCTGGGCTGCTGCAGGAGAAAGAAGGTGAACCGGCGGGCAAGAGCCACAACACGGTTTTCCGCAGTCGTCTGAGCAGCTTCGACAGAGAGACACGACGAAGCAACGCTGGCTGGGTCTGAGACCTTGCCCCTCGACGACTCTCGCTTAGTGAACACTTAAGTGTTCGAGGACTTGCAATTCTAAAGCGTAATTACGCGGTTTTTTTATATAACACGAACACGATTTCTTTTCAAATACCACTCTTTACTAACTTCCAACAATTGAGTACGAAAACGGGCGGCTCACAACTGTGCAAGGGTTGAGGTTGATCCCACGTTGAGAAACCTCAAACTTGGGTAATTAAACCAACACGTTTTGTAAAAACAACGAGAAGTTATTAACGCGTACTTAATAGGATAAAGGAGTGCTACTCGTTTGAATAAGAAATTAATTTAACAAAGACGAGATACAAATGAATAAAATAGATAAACGAAAACAAATAAAAAGGTAACTAATTAGAAAGAACAATGAACTTGAAAGGAATAGAAAAATATGGCGAGAAAGAAAAAGATGACAATAGAGAAGGGCTAAAAAGGGGGAAAATTTGGCGCCTTTCTTTGACCCGTAGATCACTGTCGCGGAAGATCAACTAGTGGAATCAATGATGAGGTTTCACGGCGTTTTTGTTAGTGGAAGAAAAGGCAAAGCCAAAAATGAAGAGGGCGTGGTCAAAGCCTCCGTCGTTCCCATGTGACGTCATGAGAAAAAAGCGAAAACAACGGAATATTAAAGGCGCATGAGACAAATCATTTTCTTATTTTAAAAAACACAATTTCTTGATTTATCAGGCTGTCCAATAGTTCTTGTCCGAAAATTTTCAAAACTTCATAATTTTCTTTAGAAGTGTTTAAATATCAGGCAAGTGTGAGAACCTTCTAGAAGGTTCTCCAGTGTTCCACGCTAGGGGCGGGCTTGTGCGAGGGCCGGCCCGTCACCCTCCCGGCCCCCCGACCATTTCGTAAGCCCGGCCCGGCCCGGTCTTAGCGATTCGGGCCGGGCGAGCCTCAAGGAAAAATGGCCCGCCCGGCCCGAATCGCGCAATTTTTTTCCAGTCGGATATCAAGTTTTTTTTACGACAAAAATTACGTTTTTGCTCATTTTTTCTCTTAAAGTTTAACAAAAACTATGATTTCAGAAGTAAAAGTCACATTTCGGTGAAAATTTTTTAAATGAAATTTTAAATTATTTTTTTTTTGAAGCCCGGCCCGGCCCGAGCCCACGCGGGCTTTTTCCTGAAAATGAGGCCCAAAGCCCGGGCCGCCCGACCTGTCGCACAAGCCTGGCTAGGGGTATATAAGGCGCAGTCGCAGCGTCTAGCTACCAGTAGAAGCTAAAAGGGACCAAGGTCAAATTCGTACGTTCGTATACTACGAGCTGCTGCTGATCAACGACACGGGCATCGCGGTCGCCAACATCTGCAGAGCGTGCAAGGAGGATGCAGTGTCTCAATGCACAGTCAGGCGCTGGTTTAATCGTTTCGAGAGCGGCGACACGAGCCTCGAGAACAGGGAGCCCAGCGAGAGGCCTTCTACAGTGGATGATGACGAATTCCGTCGCTGTATCAAGGAGAAGCCAGAAGTCAACATCCGTGAACTGACGACGACGCTCGGCCGCACCAAGTTCACCATCCACAATCGACTCAACTCACCCGGCTACCACAAAGTTCTGCCCTGTTGGATCCCGACCGTCTGACGAACGCCAACAAGCAGAGCCGCATGGCCGTCTGCCAGTTTCTCCTTCTTCGTCCGCATCGCAAAGAGTTTATCGAGGACCTCGTCATTGGAGATGAGACCTGGGTCCTCTACGACAACGACGCCCGCCGTGCCGCTTAGATCCCGCGCGGAGAAGAGCCGCCGACAACGTCGCCCGCCGTGCCGTCTGGATCCCGCGCGACGAAGAGCCGCCGAAAACGTCGAAAGCCGACCTGCTCCCACTGAAGATCATGCTCTGCTGCTGGTGGACGCCAAGGGCATGCTGTACTTCGAGCTGCTCCCGCAAGGCAGGACGGTCACCGCCTCCATCTTCACCGATCAGCTCGAGGAACTAGCCGCCGCCATCTGAGAAAAGCGTCCCCGACGTGCCTTGGTCTACCTTCTGCATGACAACGCGCGCCCCCACGTGGCGAAGGAGATCCAGCAGAAGTTGGCGACGCGCGGCTGGGAGACGGTATTCTTCGGACCTCGCTTCCTCCGATTACCACTTGCTCCGCCCGCTCAAGCACCATTTGGCCGGAAGAAAATTCGCCAACTACGACAACCTCAAATCCGACTTCGCAGACTTCTTCGAAACGCAGCTCCGGAGTTTTGGGCGAAGGGCATCGGCGACGATCGTTGGGCCATTGTCGTGGATAACTGTGGTTATTATATTGTTGATTAGACTTGTTTTTCATTGAGGTTGAAAGAAAAACTGAAAATGGTGAAATTTTGTGACGAATTATTGGACAACCTGATATTTTTTAAAAGCACATCACCGTGTTCAAAGTGAAACTCAAAGTAGCCGCCAGCGAAGCAAAATATAACTGAATCTCGTGAAAATTACTTTGGACACGGTATGTGCGAGAGCGTCGCAGTGCATGCACGCAACACACGACACTTTACAGAGAAACGTAAACTGGCGTCGTCGGAAAAACGCCGTGGGTTCGTAACCTCGTGACGCATTACATTTTTGTCGATTATCACAGTTTATTTCTAAGTTCACAGAGGGAATATGCTGAGGTAATTTTTTCAGTCTTCACAAGGACGGCACTGGAACTTGCGATTCACGACGGCTTTCTCTGACCCGGCACAGCAAGTTTGGCGAGGAAAGAGACAGTAGTCGAAATTGCAACGGGCCAATCGCTCCCGTGTGCCCCCGGAGAAGAGCCGCCGACAACGTCGCCCGCCGTGCCGTCTGGATCCCGCGCGACGAAGAGCCGCCGAAAACGTCGAAAGCCGACCTGCTTCCACTGAAGATCATGCTCTGCTGCTGGTGGACGCCAAGGGCATGCTGTACTTCGAGCTGCTCCCGCAAGGCAGGACGGTCACCGCCTCCATCTTCACCGATCAGCTCGAGGAACTAGCCGGCGTCATCGGAGAAAAGCGTCCCCGACGTGCCTTGGTCTACCTTCTGCCCGACAACGCGCGCCCCCAAGTAGAGAAGGAGACTTAGCAGAAGTTGGCGACGCTCGGCTGTGAGACGGTTTCCGGGCCTCGCCTCCTTCGACTACAACTTGTTCCGTCCGCTCGAGCACCGTTTGGCCGGAAGAAAATTCACCAATTACGACAGCCTAAAATCCGACTTCGCGGACTTCTTCGAGTCGCAGCCCCCGGAGTTTTGGGCAAAGGGCATCGGCGACCAGCTCAATCGATGGGCCATTGTCGTGAATAACTGTGGGGATTATATTGTTGATTAGACTTGTTTTTCAATGAGGTTAAAAGAAAAATTAAAAATGGTGAACTTTTTGGACAAGACTTATTGGAAACCTGATAATAAATGAAAATGCCTGCCAGAAGTCTTTCAGCAGGCTTCTAGAAGATAAATAGAGGTATATAGAAGGCATTGGACCACTTACTAGGAAGTTTCCAAACGCCTTTCGAGGAACCGAAAGCAGAAGCTACCCAACGTGTACCTGAGAACATTTTCGGGCTCGACCACACACATGAATTTCTTAAGATTTACGAGAAAAGTGTTGGCTTTATTCCCAAGCACGAAATTTAATTCATATGGGTTTGCAGACGAAGTGCTTGTACGGTATTCGTGTTCCTCTTTTTACGTAACCAGGGCAGCAGCTTATGCGAGGGTGGAGGCAGACTTGAATGTTGCAAGGGACCTTGCGCTTGCTCTTGCCTCTGTAATTGGAAAGTAAATGATGAATTTTTTGGAATCCCGTGTGTGACTTTTACGGTCCACAAGGTAAGAAGTTCTATCCCGGCCGCGAACCAACCAAGGGGTTGGGGGAATTAGTGGGAAAACCCAGCCGTTACACATATTAACGGATAAATCACAGCCGGTCCACTGATTATCACTGATATCAGGATGAAATCTAGTCTCTGGCAAAGTCGGAACAGTGGTTAAAGGCAGCAAAAAGGTAACGAAAAGAGTCATTATAATAATTTATTGACAGATCAGCGTGAACCCTAACGAGTTCACTTGGATCTAGAATTTGAGAGAATACATTATACAGTTATACATCATTTGAGTCGTGGAGGAATAGACAAGAAGATCTCGTGCATTGGTAGATAGATCAGTAAATTTTTTAAAGACTTGGAGTGGTGGCTGAATTGAAATTTGGAAGTGAGTTTGTTCCAAGTAGGAATTGTTTTAAAGAAAAAATCATTAGAAAACTGACCTTGAGAACGCAGTCGAAGTGGATTTCGCCTTAAATTGGACCTGAGGGCAAAAAGTTCGAACTGGGGAAAATGATCGATACCGAAGACAATTTTATGAAGGGTCAGAATGTCAGATATAGCTCGTCTGAGGTAAAGTGGAGAGATATCAAATTGTTCAAGGCGATCAGAGTAAGATTCAAAGGATAAGTTGGACCTAATAAAAATTTTACGAGAAAAAATTCTGAGAGGAGATTCCAGTTTGTAGCAGAGATCAGAATTAAGGGGAGGGTTGAAAACTTCGGAGCAGTATTCTAGAATAGGCCTTACATAGGTGTTAAAAATTTTGAACAATAGATCAGGTGATTTGGAACGAATGCTTAAAGGAGCCGTCATTTTTCGGTCTCTGGCTTTCCGTAGGGTTCATTGAAAGAATTTTTCAAACTCGCTCCTTATAGCGTGTCTCTAAATTTGACGGGCTAAACACAGTCCTTTATGAAATTCTCACACTTTTTTCATTTCAACTACTTCATCTTCATGAAGTAGAAAAAGAGGCTCAAAAGAAGCCATATTTGAATTCTTTTTTTCCAATTTTTTTCTATCATTCTCCGCTGGCTAAAAAAACAGCCGCAACCAAAATTTCTAATAATTTTTTTACTTCGTCATGGTCGGCTTTTTGCGCAACAGTGGTAAGTTTTTTTGGTGAGTGAATTTTTTTCTTTCTTCTTTTTTTGCCTGATATGAGCTTGATTGTGGAGGTTGGAGGTCATTTTTTTCGAGTTTTTTTGTCCATTTTTTTCAAAAACTTTTTCAAAATATTTTTTTAAAAAAAGGGTGAAGCTTAGATGCTTTACGGTTTTTGTTATTATTGATTTGGAACCAAAAGGATATTTTTATTTTCATTCACATTGAAACGATCGATTTTTGTCTGATGCGTTTCAGTTAGAAACTGGAATTCAGTTTTTTTCAGTAGTGAATCGTTTTTTCGTCTTTTTTTTCTCAAAAAGGCTTTTCAAGATTTTTTTTTTTTGGTGATAAACCTCTTCATATTGATTACAGTTGGATTTTTTTTTTGGAACTTTTCAAATTCTACCACTTTTTTTGGACCACGTGTTTTCAGCTAGGAGCTCGACCGTTCTTTTTTCCAGGCAAAAATGCCTTTTTCAATGATTTTTTCAACCTTTTTCCCAACAAAAAGGCTGCATTACAACTTTTTGCCGATTTTTTTCTATCATTCTCCGCTGGCTAAAAACAGCCGCAACCAAAATTTCAAATCATTATTTTTTTCCCTTCTTCATGGTCGGCTTATGCGCAACAGCGGTAAGTTTTTGGTGAGTGAATTTTTTTCTTTCTACGTTTTGCCTGATAAGGCTCATTTTTTTGGGTTTTTTGACCATTTTTCAAAAAAAAAAGGGTGAAGCTTAGATGCTTTGCAATTTTGTTTTTCTTGATTTGGAACCAAAAGAATTTTTTTCAATTTTTTTTTTCATTCACATTGAAACGATCGTTTTCTAACTGATACAATTCAGTTGGAAACTCGACCGCTTCTGTTTTCGGTTTTTTTTTTCCAGTAGCCAATCGTTTTTTTCGTCCTTTTACTGAAAAAGGCTGTTTCTGTTTCAAAATTTTCTATTTTTTTCAAAAACTTTCCTTTTTAAAATGGGAGGCAGACAGCACCTTTACCGTTTTTTTCCGCAAAAAAAGGCTATATACATGATTTTTTTTTTGGTCATCAACTTCGTTAAAACAGTGGAGTTGTTTTTGGAAGTTTGTCGAATTCTCTTCCTTTTTTTGAATCACGATTCTGAACTCGTCGAACTTTTTTTACAAGCAAAAAAACGCCTTTTTGAACGTTGGTTTTTTTGGTCCTTTTTTTCCCGACAAAAAGGCTGCATTACAACTTTTTGCTGAATTTTTTTACATCGATATTTAATTTTTTTCTTGATATTTTTGGCTCGAAATTCGACCGTTTTTTGTTTCAAATCAAAAAAGCGATACTTATTTTAGTAGTCGATTTTCCGCCAATTTTTGGAAAAAAATGAGATCACTCTTTTACGCTTTCGTCGAAGCGCAATTACTTGAAAACTTGCTAGAAGTGTTTTTTGTCCTTTTTTCAAAATGAAAAAGGCTATTTCGATCATTTTCCTTCCTGAAGTACCATGAAAATCACATTTATTCCATTTCAAGCCATGGTTCTTCGGTCGGGAATTTTTTTCACGTAAAAATTTTTTGTCTTTTTTTCGCAAAAAGATTTTTATTATGAATTTCCCGCTCGCTTGATTTCATTTTTCCATAGTTAAAACTAGTTTTTGGTTGTGAAATAGAAAAAGGTTTTTACTTTTGATTAAATTCAATTTTTTCGTCCTTTTTTCAGCAAAAAAAGGGCTATATTCATTGATTTCCGGTGTTTCTTCCGACATTACTCGAAAATCTGCCTTTAAAGTTTGTTTCCAATTTTCATTAGCTGAAAGGATTTAGATAATATTATATTTTTTTGAAAAGAGCTGTGTAATTATTCTTGGTGTGATTTATTCAGCTCGCCTAGGTTTCTTGTGATTTTTCCAAAAAGAAAACTTAATTCAAAACTTGTTTTTAATGAGCTGTTCAGTTTTTTCAACGCTGTTGAATAAAGAGTATCGAAAAAATTTTGTTTTTTGCGTCTTTTCAGAATAGTTTCTGAACGAAAACTGTTGTTTTACAGATTTTAATCACATCGCTTTTTTTTTTATTCTCTAGGCATCAAAATGGGTCAGCCTAATTTTTGAACAAATACTTTCTGTTCATATTCTTGATCGTTAGTGGAAAAAAAAATAATTATTGTTCAATTTTTTCCTAATTTTCGATATTTCGGCTCTCAACCGAAAGCTATCGTTTTGATAATTTCACATTACTCTGTTTTTTCCCAAGGCTGCTGCAGGAATTGATCCCTTGAAGTGGCTAATTTTCCTTCTTTTTCGAGGTTCTCAATTATTTTTATCGGCTTTTGAACATCTCGTCTTCGAAATCCGTCGCGAGACTTTTTTTCGCGATTGACTTCTTCGCCATGGTGACGCCGTCAGTTCATCCCAGCACATTCAGGTTTATAAAACAGTTTTTCGTGATTATTCAGCATTCTAAGTCGTCGGAGCACACTTTCCACTGTCTTATTCCCCTTCTCAATATCAGCAGAGCTTCTAGAAGGTTTGTCGCTTTTGTGCTCTCGGCTCCGTTTTGTCAACCTGTTTTTACGGCGTTTCTCAATTTTTTTCAAGTTTTGAGTGCTCGATTTTCTCCATTTTGAGATCTTGGAAGAGCAGGCGAAAAAGCTTCAGAGTTCAATTTTTCCCGGAACTGCGATCTTTGAAGTTCGACTGTCGGCTCGAAAATATGTTGCTTTAAATTTTTTCTCATCTTTTTACAGATTTTCCGTCCGAAGGTCTTTTTCTTGTTTCACAACGCCAAGAAGCTTCGATTAAGTGTATACCTTGGTCTACTTGCGAGATTTCTTATTTTTAATTTTTCGAAATTAGTTTGTTCCCGCCTTGGTCTGCTCTTTTTCCGGAAATTGATCTTCTTTTCGTGAGGAGCATTTGGAAACGTTTTTGAAGCCTAGGAGTTCTTCAGTTTTGGCAAAGCTCCTAGTTTACTCTTCTTCTCGTCACGTCTCCTTGAGCTTTTCATGACTTCGGTTTTCGAATTCTGTCTGTCCCCTGCTTCATTTGCTCGGTATTTCGAGGCTTATCTCTAGAGTAATTTTTGGAAGGTGTTGTGAAGGCAGTCAGCAGGATATTGGAAGGTGAATAGAAGCTAGAAGGTCTTGAGAGTTTTTTGTTCATGAAGGCCTTCATTTTTTCTCCAAAGGTCTCGACTTTGATCCGGAAAGTCGAGATTTTTCTCTTCGAGTCAATCTCAGTGCAGCTCATACAGAGCTGGGGATGTTTCGAGATGTCAGGTAAGTTTACATTTTTTTTTTCCAATAACCCACAAAAAATTTACTAATCTCAAGTTTTTTTCGAAAAAAATTCTTCATACAGAAATCAAAAAAAGAACAACCAAAAAAATTAATAGAACGTTTTTTTCAATCGATCAAAAAGTAAGGAGGCTTTCTCACGGGGTGGGGAAAAAAATATGAATAATTTCCCAAGTAATCTTTTTTTGTTTTTCAGGTCGGCGACCGGTAGAAGGCAGCGAAGATTACGTTTCAGAGTTTGGGGCCCGTCGGCAAGTAATTTTTACCTTTTTTTCCTTTTCTAAAAACTCAATTTTTTTGAATTTAGGGTCGAGCGCAGTCGGAGAAGACGAGGGAAGAAGCTTTATAACCTGCGAGAGGTAAATTATTTAACATCATAAGAACTTCGTATATTGAAAGTTACTCTTCTGATTGGCTGGTCACGCCCCTTTGATCCAGATTGTGAAGCTGAACGAGCCAGTCAGAGAGTTGAATAACTGCAATATATGAATAAAAAGCTTTCACGGCAAAAAAAAAATTTTGGGTGATAGCAGGAAAAGCAGGAAAAAATTGCAGTTTGAAAGAAACGTAAAAATGGCGAACATTCGAAAAATGGCGAAGCGTGTTTTCCATAGAGCAACTTTACTGCAAAACGTCCTTTTGGCGGTAACTCAAGCTTTCCTCTCTCCGACTTTGAATCACTTTTTCTTCAAAAATAGGAACTTCTGTACGTTTCCAAGTCCACCGTTCGATTCCCACTGAAAAGCTCTTCAAAGTACTGCTTTGAACTAAAACACCGTTTTTTTTAACTTTAATATGAACGAACAAAAAAACTGATATGCATTTTTAGAATTTTTTTCAAACTCGAGGAAATTCCAATAGTTTTGATTCAAAATGTCACTTTCAGAAACGGAAACAGAAATTTCTAAATGAATATTTTTCCAGAGGTCGATTGTCTACGATGGTGTTGCTCCATGAATGTCAAGGACTACGCTGGACTTATCGAGGATTTGAAGAACACTTGAAACTTTTTCTTAGCTTGTGACTTTCCAGAGACACAAGTGAACGAGAGTTTTTTCGCCTGGTGAAGGCAAAGTTCAGACTTTTGTACTGGCGGGAAGTGAGTTTTATAGTCATTATGCCATGACTTGAATTTCATCAAGCTGGATTTTCAAGCCTGAAAAATCTTACGAAATGCTGAAGAACATGTCACGCAAGATCGGTGTGTTCACAGAATCAAGTCGTACTTTGCTCCAGTCGACGGGTGGCCAGCACTACATAATCGATTGATAATCGAAACATCAAGCCGCAACGCCGACTCGCATGCTGCATGAAAGCAAACAATTCGCGCTCCTCTCAGTGCGTCCAGAGGAAGTCGCTCTTCATGTCGCTCCAGTCGTTCAAGACTGGAGGCGTGCATCATCAAACTCAGCTGCGCATCGCCGATCAGAAGATGGCCAAGCAGTGCTTCGAAGACGTCGCTAGCCGTGGATGATTTCTGAATCTAGAAGTTCTGCTGGAAGGCTCGTCAACGTCAACGACAACGAGTTTGACAAAGTAGCCTTTGTCCAGAACACCGCTTCAATTCTCCAAAGTCAGCAAAGTCATCTGGAAAGCCTCGTTGACCAGAAGAGCCTGTCCTGTTCTCTGTTTTTGGGGCTTAAAAGAGGTGCCTCAATATCCACACGATAGTGTACAACAAGAAGACCTTCTCGACAACGTCTCTTTTTGGGCAGTCTCTTAGTCGAGTAGAAGAAAGTGCGCGATTGATCGACCATCTTGAACGACTCGCTGTGGCTACGCTAGCAGTTGATCTCCTGAGGACGGCTCCAACAAGTTGATCGGGAGGCAACTCAACTAGTTCGACTATAGGAACGGAAACATGCATTTGAGAGACGTTGGGTCGAATTTTGCTGGCATCAGCGAAATATTTGTTAAATTTAGTTCCAATTCAAAGCCCACCTCAGGCAAAAAATTCAAAGAACTTTGAACCTTACATTAGGTACGCTAGAAAGACCAATTTAATCGTTAACGTGGATCCCGGAAAGGTAAATTTTTCCAAAGTTTAGCGTGGAGTATTGGACAGGCCTTTTGGTTAGTGGAATCAAGGATGAGGGTTCGGATTCCCGAGACTCATTTCATTTTGTCGGTTATCATATCAGGCTGTCCGCAAATTCTTGTCCGAAAATTTTCAAAATTCTATAATTTTCCTTAGAAGTGGTATAATATCAGGTAAGTGTATGAACCTTCTAGAAGGTTCTCCAGAGTTCCACGCTAAGGGTATATGAGGCGCAGTCGCCGCGTCTGGCTACCAGCACAAGCTAAAATGGACAAAGGTCAAGTTCGTACGTTCGTGCACTACGAGCTGCTGCTGGGCGACGACACGGGCACCGCGGTCGCCAACATCTGCAGAGCGCGCAAGGAGGATGCAGTGTCTCAATGCACAGTCAGGCGCTGGTTCGATTGATTCGAGAGCGGCGACACGAGCTTCGAGAACAGGGAGCCCAGCGGGAGGCCTTCTAGAGTGGATGGTGAAGAATTCCGTCGCTGTATCAAGAGGAAGCCACCATCCGTTACGACGCTCGGCTGCAGCAAGTCCACCATCCAGAATCGACTTAACTTACTCGGCTACCACAAAGTTCTGCCATGTTGGATCCCGACCGTCTGACGAACGTCAACAAGCAGAGCCGCATGGCCGTCTGCCAGTCCCTCTTCTTTCATCCGCACACGAGGAGTTTATCGAGGACCTGGTCACGGAGGGTGGGAGGTGGGTCCTTTACGACAACGTCGCCCCCCGTGCTGTCTGGATCCCACGCGAAGAAGAGCCGCCGAAAGCCGACCTGCTCCCGCTGAAGATGATGCTCTGCTGCTGGTGGACCGCCAAGAACTGCTGTACTTCGAGCTGCTCCCGCAAGGCAGGATGGTCACCGCCTCCAACTACACCGATCAGCTGGAGGAACTAGCCGCCGCCATCCGAGAAGCGTCCCCGACGTGCCTCTACCTTCTGCACGACAACGCGCCCCCACGTGGAGAAGGAGATCCAGCAGAAGTGAGCGACGCTCGGCTGGCAGACGGTTGCCCATCCGCCGTATTCCCCGGACCTCGCCCCCTTCGACTACAACTTGTTCCGACCGCTCGAGCACCATTTGGCCGGAAGAAAATTCACCAACTACGACAGCTTAAAGTCTGACTTCTTCGAGCCGCAGCCCCCGGAGTTTTGGGCGAAGGGCATCGGCGACCTGCTAAATCGATGGACCATTGTCGTGAATAACTGTGGGGATTATATTGTTGATATGACTTGTTTTTCATTGAGGTTAAAAGAAAAAGAAATGGTGAAATTTTCGGACAAGAATTATTGGACAACCTGATATTTTTTAAAAGCACATCACCGTGTTCAAAGTGAAACTCAAATTAGCCGCCACCGAAAGAAAAATATAACTGAATCTCGCGAAAATTACTTTGGACGCGGTATGTGCGAGAGCGTCGCAGTGCATGCACGCAACACACGACACTTTACGGAGAAAAAGTTGGCGGGGCGTCGTGGGAAAAACGTCGTGGGTTCGTATCCTCGTGTGTTCATTTTTGTCGATTATCACAGTTTATTTTTAAGTTCACAGAGGGAATATGTTGAGTTAATTTTTTCAGTCTTTACGAGGACGGCACTGGAACTTGCGATTCACGACGGCTTTCTCTGACCCGGCACAGCAAGTTTGGCGAGGATAGAGACAGTAGTCGAAATTGCAACGGGCCAATCGTTCCCGTGCGCCTCTGAAATTTTTTTCGGAAGTTACTGGCCTAGTTCTATCAAGGAACTAACTGGCAGTGCTGGGAGTTGCCGCCCAAGCAGGTTCTGACTTGTCTTATGCTTCCGCAAGCGCCGCAGGTGTCGTTGCATCTTGCGCCGGGCTTATCTGCCCATTCGGACCAGCCGGAGTTGTGGGAATTCACCTGGAAACGATGCGTTTCAAAATAATCACAATCAAAACGTACCACTACTGAGAAAATCACAATTGAAACGAGAAAAGAGAGGAGCTTCATCGTGAAAGTATCGAATCACGTTAAATGTGCAACGTATCGCTTTATTGCCGTGAAGGAAACGTTTTATCACCTTTTTACAGCAAAAAAAATTTGAAGCGGATTATTTTTTAGATGAAAAAATGGGCCAACACATCAATCAATAAACCATTTATCTTATTGATTCAGTGGAAGATGTAATCGATTTTAACAAGAACTGTTAAAGTTTTAACGAACCCTTGACGAACTAGAAGTCCAAACTTGTAGTTGATCAAGTTGAAAACATGGTCTCACGGTCTTTCGCTAGTTCTTCTGCGCATTGTTCATCCAGTTACGTCCTGAAGAGCTCAAAAACCGCGGATTTTGAGACTGGAGCCTAGAAGCCGTGTTATAGGCGTAAGCCTTAGAATAGGAGCAGCCACAAAATTCTGAGAATTTATGCAGTCTTCACGGAAGCGTTTTTCAACTCATTCGAGTCCTGGGCTGATGTTGGGAGAATAACCATCAGTTGGTTGGAAGGTGAATGGAAGCTAGAAAGTCTTGAGAAGGCCTTGGGAAGGTGTTCAGAAGGTAGTTGGAAGGTCTTTTTAAGGGCGAAATTGAAAATGCCTGAAGCCTTTCAGCATGCTTCTAGAAGATAAATAGAGGTATATAAAAGGCATTGGACCATTTGCTGGGAAGCTTCCAAACATGTTCGGGCTCCGTTAGCCGCCATAAATGGCGTTGCCTCCCCATCACCGCGTAGAGGTGTTACTTGAAAGGGAAAGTCATCGGAATTTCGAAATTGCAACGGACCTTCTGCTCGCTTTCCCCTCTGTAAATGACGTTTGAAGGTTTGAGAGGGCATTTTTGATCATTTCGGTTCAAAAACGTCCCGATGAACTAACCTGCACTCTCTCCGTCGCAAGTTCTCACTTGCTTGATCACCCCACAAGCTCCACATTCGTAGGTACAGGTGGCGCCCTCTTTGTCGACCCATTCCGACCAACAAGACTCGTCGGAACTGTCCTAGAAAGGTTTAAAAATTGTTGACTGGATACGAACCCATCTGTCAAGAAAAAAATAAATTTAAAAAAATTTACCGAATTTTTTTACCGAATCTCTACTTTCTGACATACACTACCGGTTCATCAATCAAAGAGTTTACAATCATTGGAATCACATGGATAGAAACATAGTATTTGAGTATGAAAAAAATAAGTTCAGATCTAAACTTGAGAAATGGTTTGAAAACAACATTACAGAACTAAACACTCTTGATCCAACAAAAATATGAAAGCTACATAATCGACATTTAAAAGAATAACTTCAAGGTTATTCCAATTTACTCAAGTGGGGGGTTAACACGACCGCGAGTCCTCTTCCCTCCATCACCACAAGTTCCGACACATATGTTCCCAAATTCTCCCTACATCTATTTCGTGAAATTTAGTACTTGTGTGTGAGAAATAAAACATTTTGATTGATTGATTGAATATGACCGCTCTTTGTGGCTGGTATGCCGCCAATCCCCCACCCCGGGGTTAGATTCAGCCGAAGTATAGGAAAGTATTTCGAAAGTTTTACAATCAAAGCTCACCACCACGAAAAAAACTGCGATCAAAAAAGCAAGGCAGCTTGAATCGAGTCTCATCGCGAATCACGTTTGATGTGCCCTGCTTTATTGCTCTTACATAGGCTTTTATTTTTTATCGCTTTTTTCAAATCTTGTAAATGGATTTCTATGAAAAGCAGGGAAAAATTCCTTCTTTCACTGCTTTTCTGTAGCATTTTATCAAATGAAAAATTTTAAAGCTTATAAAAACTGTTCACGATCAGTTTGTTGTTTCATAGCCCATTTAAGTGGTAACTTCGGAAGTTCATGGTTAAGGTTGACCTCGAGTCACGTGCGAAAAGTTTAGTGGCTACTTAAGGGTTCTGAATTTTAATGGTCACTATAGTGGTCGAATCAGTAGCTGGCTAAAATTCAGTGGCCACTTTAGGAGTCTGAGGGTACTACTAGACCACTAGAAACTACTTCAGTGCCCACTAAAAAAGCTCACCACCACGAAAAAAACTGCAATCAAAAAAGCAAGGCAGCTTGAATCGAGTCTCATCGCGAATCACGTTTGATGTGCCCTGCTTTATTTTTCTTACATAGGCGTTTTTTTTATCCCTTTCTTCAAAAATTGCGAACGAATTTCTATGAAAAGCAGGGAACTATCATTTTCTTCTTCCCTTTTATTAAGCATTTTATCAAACGGAAAATTTTGCTTTATAAAAACTGTTCTCTGGTATCCTGTAAGAAGTCAAGTACGCCATCAGGAAGCTGAAGGTCGGAACGGCCGTAGGACCCGACAACATCTCGTCCGAACTGCTGAAGGCTGGAGGAGACTCGCTGTACCGACTACTTGCCCGGCACTTCTCTAAGTACCTGAGCGAAGCCTCTATTCCGGAACAATGGAAAACGTCCAAGACGATCCTCATTCCGAAGAAGGGCGACCTCACCGACCTGAACAACTTCAGACCGATCTCCCTCTTATCGGTCGTCTACAAGTTGTTCACCAAGGTCATCGTCAACAGACTAGAGAAGCAACTCGAAAACTTCCAACTTTGCAGGTGGGCTTCCGACGCAACTACTCTTGCCTCGACCACATCCACGCCTTGACCCAGGTAGTAGAACGGCACCGGGAGCACCAGATGCCATTTGCGTTGGCCTTCGTCGACTACTACAAGGCCTTCGATAGCGTGGAGATCAACGCCGTCTTGAATGCTCTTGTCTCCGCCGGAGTCGCCACAAAGTACGTCGAGCTGATCGCCAACAGCAACGAGGGAACGTCCACGACCATCCAGCTGTTCGACAAGAAGCTCTCGATCCCCATCAGGAAAGGTGTTCGCCAGGGAGATACCATCTCCCCCAAGTTGTTCTCCACGGCACTAGAAGACGCGATGCGCCAACTTAGATGGGACGAAGAGCACGACTGGGAAGACAGTACAGACATCAGAGGCATCAACATCGACGGCAAGGTCCTCACAAACCTTCGCTTCGCCGACGACATCGTACTCTTCTCCAGCTCCACCACCGAACTGTCCTCCATGCTAAACGATCTGGACGAAGTCGGCAAGAAGATCGGCCTCAAGATGAACGTCAAGAAGACGCAGTGGATGGAGAACCGCTTCTGCGACCAAGGCAAAGTCACCCTTGAGGGCCGCGACCTTCTACATCTACAGTACCGCTCAAAAGTCTATTAAGTTTTGGTTTTTTGGGGATATCTCAGCGAGTACTTATCCGATTTATATATAACTTTCAGGGATAATGTAAAATATACTTTGAAACATATACGGTATACAAAGACATGTCCGCAATGACTGTGACGCGTTTTAGGCATTTTTTTATTGAATTCCATTTTTTGTTTTTTTATGCTTTTTATTTTTTTATTTATTTTTTTATTAAATTTTTTTAAAATTAATAATGTTGCCATATAATTTTTTTCATGTTTTTCAGACATGGGAAGAACCTTTGGAAATAAGAATTTGACTGATAACGACAAAAGAGCCATCGTTGTGGGTCGTCAAAATGGACTGACCATGATGACGTTGGCAGGAATGTTCGGCGTGACAGAGGCGGGCATTTCTCAGTTCCTAAAGCGTCAGAAAGCTCAAGATGGCTCTACTAACAGCCAACGCACTGGAAGACCACGTGTCACTGATCGTAATGACGATAGGAACATTTTGAAGACGTCTAGAACCAATCCAAGACTCACCGCCCCTGCGATCAGACGGGAAGTTTTCTTGAATTCGCCATCTCCGCCATCCGTCTCGACCGTGAAACGACGTCTGAATGCTGCTGGAATCATGGGAAGACGTCCAGTGAAGAAACCGCTGATTTCTGAAAAGAATCGAGCCGCCAGGGTGAAGTGGGCGAAGGAGCATCTCAACTGGACCCGTCAAGACTGGAACAAGATTCTGTGGTCCGACGAAAGCAAGTTCCTCCTCTTCGGGAGTGACGGAATTCAGTGGGTTCGTAGACCAATTGGGTTCAGATATCATCCGAAATACCAATTACCCACCGTGAAACATGGTGGAGGTTCTTGCATGGTGTGGGGCGCCTTCTCTGGAAGTGGCATCGGACCGCTTCATCGCGTGAACGGCATCATGGACAAGCACGTCTACAAAGACATTCTCCAGAACCAGATGTTGCCGCACTTGAGAGCCATGGGCCGTGGGAGTGTTTATCAACAGGATAACGATCCCAAGCCCACTTCACTGTTCGTCAAGGTGAGAAAATTGACAAGTAATTCGTATGGTTTTGAAACTCAGGACTGGTTCAAGGGCCGTCGGGTCAATGTCATGGGGTGGCCAAGTCAATCTCCGGACCTGAACCCGATCGAACATCTCTGGGAAGAGTTGGAGCGACGTTGTGCCAACAAAAAGAGCCAAGAATTGCAACGAGAAGTTTGCTCAACTGCTGTCTGAATGGAATCAGATCCCCATGTCTACCATCGACACTTTGCTCAATTCTATGCAGAGAAGATGCCAGGCAGTGATTGACGCCAGGGGCTTCGCAACCAAGTACTAGGTCCCGAATATTGTTTTTAACAATGTTTTTGTGTTGATAAAAAAATTTTTTTGTTGAGCTATGATTTTTTTAATTGAAAATAGCAAAAATTCGATTTTTTTCGAAAATTCGTTTTTTTCTCAAAAAAATTATTATTCTTTGAGCTAGCAACTTGAAATTTTTGCCAGAACACGTATGTCTCTCTCAGAAAAACTATGAAAAAATTTGAATCGATATCGCATTTCAAAAAAATTTATCCCCAAAAAAACCAAAACTTAATAGACTTTTTGAGCGGTACTGTACAGCGCGGGAAACATCGTTGGGGCGGCCACGTCATCCGCAGACAAGACGACCGCTGGTCCACGAGATTAACACACTGGATTCCGAGATACATCAAGCGCCCACTCGGGCGCCCACCGACCAGATGGACGGACTATTTCCGCAAGAACATCAGTCAGCCAGGCCGCCACTGGATGACCGTCGCGCAAGACCGAGCCGCCTGGAGAACGTGTGGTGTACGCTGAGAAGCGAAGATGGACCATCAAAGTATCAAAGTAAGTAAGTTCACGATCAGTTGGTTGTTCCATAGCCCACTAAAGTGGCCACTTCGGAAGTTCATGGTTATAGTCGACCTCGAGTCACGTGCGAAAAGTTTAGTGGCTACTTAAGGGTTCTGAATTTTAATGGCCACTATAGTGGTCGAATCAGTAGCTGGCTAAAATTCAGTGGCCACTTTAGCGTCCTCTTCAAGTAGTCCTTGAGGAACCTTTTGAAAGGCTACTAGAGATTTTTACATCAGAATAACAGAACTTAGGAAATCGAATATTCAAATGATTTTTAAAATTCGAAGCAGCTTTATTTTTACAAAAACAGAAATTTCATTCATCGGGCTCACAGACGAATTCCTTGTTTTCCTCATCAATCGTTTTTTTGTAGCCATCGCAGCAGTTTTCGCGGGGGAAGAGGCAGATTTCGAAGTTGCACGGCGCCTGACGTTCGCTATCGCCTCTGGAATCGGAAGGTTTGCTGGTTTGAGTTTGGAAGAAATTACTGGGAAAGCCCTAGTGGCCACTTGAGGTGTTCGTCAAAGACTACTTGGGGAGGGCATCTCTATAGAAGCCACTAAACAGCGTCTTAGTGGCCACTATAGTAGTTTGAACTGGTCTAAGAGTGCCAATTAGACTTCTAAAGAGGCCACTGACTATTAGTCACTTAGGGGACCATTAATTCGACGACTACAGTGGCCACTGAAAAGTCAAAAGCCTAAAGTGGCCACTTAAATTTTCCCAGTCGAAGGAAAATGAAATGAAATTGAAGCTCAATGTCACCAGAAGACCTGAAAATGTGACGTCACTGTACAAAATTCTTCACTTTGATCGATAAATTCAAAGTGAAGGGTCTATCTAATTCAGATTTTTTTCCTGATTCTGAATCTGAAAAAAACAGATTTTTGGCTCAACAAAAGTCCCACGCATTAGCTCAAAAAAGCGCTGCGCCAAAATTCTTCTATTCACCAACATTCAATAGAAGTTTTTCGAAGGTGAGCGCAAAAAATAACTTTTCAAATTGAGGTAAACAGCAATAATAACTCTTTGGGAGAACGAAAGTTGGTCTGAATTTGAGGAGAGGATTTTTCTTTGAAGTTTGGTCAAGTGACCCGAATTTTTGACTTGTTGAATAGAGAATGACTGTAGAAATCTCTAGTGGCCACTTAAGGGGTCTTAAATACTACTTGGTGAGGTCACTGAAGTGGCCACTAAATCACCGCTACAGAAGCTTCTATTTTACATTTCGTCACAGTTTTTAATGGCCTAGCTCCACTCAGACTTCTAAAAAGGTCCCTAATTTATAGTCACTCAAGTGGCCACTACTTTAATGAACGCTAAAACTTCAAAACTTTTCAAAAATCTTCCCGGTAACTCTACTTTCATTCCAGAGGTTGCGGAGATCTCTTCAAAACTCCAAATTCTCTCTCTCCCAATAAAAATCTGGCCAAGGCGGAAGTTTCCGTCACCAAAAACCTATGAGATGAAAGGAGGCGGAGTCTGGAGCCCCGCCTCCGGCTCTCCCCGCTTTCGGCTCACTTTTCCGAGCAAGTTTGACCCACCGAACACGGTATGCGGCTAATCACTACTTCAACAATCTCCGCCATCGTCTTTTTCGTCATTTTCGGTCTCTTGACTTCGCTCGCCGATGCGCAGGACCTACAGTATGAAGAGGTAGAAGAATTTCAAAGAAAGTTTTAAGTGGCCATTTTAGGGTTTTGATGTTGTAGTGGCCACTATAGTTGTCGAAATAGTGGCCACTTTAGGGTCTAAAATTCTGTGGTCTTTTGAGAGAAGGGCTTTTACTACACCTTTCTTTGGAAAAGTTCTGGTAAAGCTTCAAGTGGCCTTTTAAGGAATTTGACGTTGCAGTGGCCACCATAGTTGTCGAAATAGTGGTCTCTTAAGGATCTAAAATTTTGTGGTCTTTTGAGGAGCCGGAGTGTTTTTACTACACCTTTCTTTGGAAAAGTACTTTGAGAGTTCTAAGTGGCCATTTTAGGGTTTTGACGTTGTAGTGGCCACTACAGTTGTCAAATTAGTGGCCTCTTGAGGGACTAAAATTTTGTGTGCTGTCTAGTGTTTTTTGTGGCTCCTCCATGGGCCTTCTGTATTCTATAGATTCCACTTCAGCGTCTCCTCCAAGTAGTCCTTGAGGGACCTCTTAAGAGACCACTAGATTTTTTCACAGTATGGCTTCTGATTTTCGAAAGATTTCCCCTGTTATAAGAAAAGAAAAGTTTGAAAATGTTGATTTAAAAAAATAATCTAACTATAGTTATCAGTTTGAAAATCCTGAATTCCATCCATTTATATTTTTTTCTTCTACCTCTAACCAAAGAGAAATAAAAAAAGAAACTCGAAATCTCGCCGTCAAACGCAACATCTTGAGTGAAGTCATTTGAAGCGTAGATCCTGTTCGAAACGCCAATTTTGATTTCGCTTCTGCTTCGTTTCCAACGACCTTTCAGGCGGAAAAGGAAAAGACAACTTTTTTCTTCTATTCGGTTTTTTTGAATTGATGACGGCAAAGGTTGACTAATAATAAGTTCCTTTTAAGGGCATGGATTATTTTTGGGAAAGGTAATCTCAAATTGAATTGTGATTTTTGATCGGTTAGAGCTTTGCAGGAATTTTAAAGCCTTATGAGAAAAGTTTCATTAAGATCACATTCAATTCTTCTTCTTGTGCAAAACGGCTGCAAAATGGCTGCTAGAAGGGTTCCGTTTTGCGGCCTTTTTTGAGCCTTTCTTGCCTGCAGGGCTGAAAAGGCTCAAAAAAGGGTGCTCTCGGCCATTGAGTATTTCCGAACTTATTACTGTAGCACATTTTGGTTCATTCACAGTGACTGGTAAAGATTTTTCTCACTTTAAAAAATGTCGTGTTTTTCAAAAGGGTCCAAAAAGGGTAGATAAAGGTCGATGAAAGGCCGGAAAAAGGCTGTAAAAAGGAAACCGTTGCCACCCGTTTAGGAACAATTATTCCGATCCATAACGGACCCTCAAAGGGCCTGTAAAGGGTCCTTCCGACTTTGCCTATGCTCATGGCTTTTCTAGAAACCAATCCTTGATTTTTTCGAGAATTATTCAGTGTTTTTTTAGAACTGTATCGAAAATAACAAGCTTGCAATGGATCTAGTAGCACTGTGAGCAATATAAACCTCAATAATCCTACATTTTCTTCAATTTTACTCAAAAATCTCTCATATTCAGCCCCTGCCAGCGTTCCCCGACGACATCCTGAAGCGGTCCTTGTATTTCGGAGAAAGCGGCGAGTCGCCGGCGACCTTCCGCGGGATGCGGGGCTTGCGCGGCAAAAGAGTGCCCATGATCAAAGGCCTCCGCGGAAAACGCACCTACCATCTTGTGTTCGTTTTTTATTGATTTCTCGTTTATTTCAACAGATAGAGAAGGTTTTTCTGGTTTGGTTACTATGGTGGCCACTAAAAAGTTAATTTCCTGAAGTGGCCACTTAAGAGTTTTCCTGATTTTTAAGGAAAGCTTTCTTGTTTTTTGCTCATCCAAACTTCTAAAAAAATTATTGAAACAAGGCTTGTTTCTAATAGATTTAGGTTCATGGTTCTCAATAGTTTTCAGAAAAACTTTTGAAAATATTTTTTCAATATGAGTATTTATGATCAAACTCCATGCTAAAAAAAAAGTCAAAAAAAGTGTTTTTCGGTTAAAATTCACCTCACCTCCCTTAGTCAGGGAACTTTCAAAAACCTTTCGATCGTCTTTTTGTTTCTAATATCCTTCTCAAAAAAGCAGACAGATGCTAAAAAAATCTTTTTTTTTTCAAAAAATGAATGAAAGGTCTGGACAGGTGAGGCAAAGGAGCGTAGACGTAAATTTTTGCACCTTTTTCGGGGGCATTTGAATAAACCTTTATTTTGAAGATCCTCAAAAGGTTTTTGGAAAGGCCTTTCGGACTTTGTTTTCTTATCAAATTTAAAAAAATTTAAGGAAAAAAATCCTAAAAAGGAGTATTTTTCATTAACTAATTTAGGGAGAAACTTCTAAAAAGGATTATTGTCTTTAACTAATCAAAAATATACATTTGGATTCACTATAATAAATATTGAACAAACTGGACCTCGAAGAATTCAAGATTTATATTATTTACCTCTACAATTTTTTTATTCCTTTCACTTTTTCCACTGTTTTTTTTAGAGCTTTTTAGCTAAATAAAACAGTATTTTTTTATTTAAACTTAACTTCTATAACTTTCCTAATCTTGAATAAATCATAAATTTCCAGGTAGAACCAGCCCCTCTTCATATAAAATCGTCAACAGGTCACGCCTTTCAAAACGCCCTTCCGAAATGAATAAAATTTGTAATTTATACAGAAACATTATCATTATAATAAGTCCTCTGTGCAATAAAACGATTGTTTGTTTCTTTGCTGAAGAAAAAGGTGCAGACTACCGTAATCCTAAGATCACGTCATGGAATTCGTTGCGAAACGCGCAAATCAAGCGTGAAACGCGCTTTTTTTTTTGAGCGTTCCACGTTTTTGAATGGAAAAAGCTTCGACTAAAGGGGAAAATGCGCTCTGATGATAAAATTAAAAATGCAAAACATTTAAAGGATGTTTGAACTTTACTTGGAATGATAGGGTTGGAAAAAAACCGAAATAAATAGAATTTATGAAATCCAACATCACTTTAGGAACTTCAAAGTAGTCCCTGTAGGGGCAAACTCAGGGGTTTTTATAGGGCCCCCTCTAAGGACCACTTTACCGACCCTATAAGAGCTCTCAAAGCTTGCAAAAAGGGACCCTTCCATTGTTCAAGTTTGTCTTTTTCAATTTAAAATTGAAAAATTATTAAAAGACCCTACAAGGACCACTTGAGCATTGGGGGCTGAGGGGTCATACGGTAAACCCCTATAGGGACCGCTTTAACTTTACCCAGGCACTTCTTTGCCCCCTATAGAGGCTGTTTTTTTCACTACCCTTACAGAGACCACTTGAGCATTGGGGACTAGGTGTCCGACGCCGAGCCCCTATAAGGGCCACTTTAACTTTGCCTCGGCTCTTTTCTGCTCCCTGTAGGGACTGCTTATTACCCTCCCACTACAAGGACCACTTGAGCTTTAGGAGCTAAGGGGACAGAAGCTAAACCCCTCTAGGGACCACCTAAATTTAACCCTGTAAGGGCCATTTTCTGTCTCCTTAAGGGTTTGTTTTCCGTTAATACCTATAGGGACCGCTTGAGCTTTAGGAGAGAGATTTCAAGCACCTATAGGGACCAATTTTTTGTCCACTATAGGGGCTGTTTTTCTCCTGACTCCTATAGGGTCCACTTGAGCTTCATGGG